CATTCACCCGCCATTTCAAACACGCCTGGCAGATTTTTGGCTTCATGTTTCCTGTACTATGCTATGCTATACATGAATGAACTGACAGCGATGTACTCTAGCCTCTTCTTCCTCCCGTTGAGAGAGTGAAGAGGGAAGATCGGAAGAGCAAAACTGCAAAACGGCAAGCAAAAAGAAGCAAGAATTCTCCCCCAACCCGCGCCCTACGGTGGCTGTAGAAGCACAAGCCGGGATGGCACTCACGCCCCCCGAGTCGCTTCTATGGATCTCGTGCATGATGCACTTTTACCACAGATCTGTTTGATGGGGGGTTTGGGGCGGTTGGGGTATATTTACTTTTAGACCAGATGTCCATGGTTTGGAAACATGGATATGGGAAGCCAGACAAGCCCCTCATATACTCGTTCCTTTCCTTTTTCAGACTAGGAAGTAGCAACACAGTCCAGATGTGGTAGTAGTTCAAGTAGGATTCAGTAGATGAGTTTCATCGGTCCTCACTCTGAGATTGATTTCAGATCAGTTTTGTGTGTTTGGAAGATGTGGAGAAGAATATGGCGATTTATATAGAGAGTACACTGTACAAAGGGGGCATCAAGCAAAATCACATGTATCAAATGCTCAGTCTTTTGTTTTACAACGTTGCGTTGGCGTCACGCAAAGACATCATTTTTGAATCCTTGATTCCACCGGCCTCAATTTATGGACAAGTTCCTGCACATTGCAATCCCGTTGTAGCAACAATGGACAAGACTTTTGTAGTACTAGGCAAGAAATCCACAATTTTCCAAACTATTACGGCAAGAAATGTGGGCATGATCGAGCGCCTCTAGTGAAGCCATCAATATCTGGGAACTCGATTTTGAAACCTTGGAATGGAAAAACACGGCGCGCAAATGGTTGCTTTGTTTTAGTACTTTTGGTACTCGGGACCATGGCCTAGATGTTGGTAGGTTTGGATACCTGGGTCGGGGGAAAGACGTGCGGGATGTTGATGTGGGCTAGATGGAACCTGTACACTGTGTAGGAGAACAAGGGCGCGTTATCCATGTTGCAGAACAGCGCCTGGGGAAAAGCCATTGGATGGGGATACATGATTGTTTGGATCCGCCTATGGTGGTGGCAACGGGGTCCAGACGTTACTGTTTTGGCATTTCTTTCCTGTAGACGTACCTCTTCGTGTATCCTGCAATATTTTCAGATTCCAGATCAAGATTCCAGATCATAATGTAACTCCGGGTAAATTTGGAGGCCAGGTCATTGTATATTCCCCAATCCTTTTGGAAATACAGACGCCTGATCATCGAACAAGACAGCAAACAAGTGAGTAGCAGATTAAATAAAGAAGAGGTAGAGGAAATCGCCAGTGGCGGTAGTGGCAGTCACCGCCATGGGTATGGTAAGTGCCATGGGTGATCTAGAAAGAACATGGTATACCCCAAACCTTCTCAATACTGCTGCGATAAGGGCACAGGATTTCCGCAACGACTAAGCGAGAACTGTATCGTACAGCGAGTGGACAGACATGTGAGTTGAGGAACTGGCATTATCATCTCGACTCAAGCAAAACAATAAATGCGTTGACAGTTGGTTTTCGTTCCCAGGGAGAAGCACAACCGCCCAATTTATGCCTCACCAGAGTTTTTGTAATAAGTGTTAGCCCCGCTGTGGGAATATGCACGGGAGCTTAGAGTGAGTGGAGAGGGCCTTTATAGTGAGCGTGGAGAAGGAGTGGCGTCATGTGATTGACGAGTGAACCAGTACGGTTACGCGAGCAAGGCCGGTGTACTATTCTGTGTTCTTTTTGGAAACCATGTGCTAGCACGAACAATCAGCACATAGGTATCTGGTTTTCCAATTTTTTTGGTGGCAAAAGGTCGAAGTAGTAACTCGGTGAGCTCTATCTGTCCATGCAAGGTTCTCAGTAGTTTTTACATTGTAAAAGCACGTGTCAAACCATAGGTGGGCACCACATAGCTCTCTCGAACATGTATCATGAGATACCAGCTTTATCGAAACGACCCAATCGATGTTCTCTCCCGCTGTAGGGAAAAGCATACAAGGACATTACAGTAACCGCTTTATAGATATGGTACGGTAGACGACGCCACGATGCCCAACCGCTTGAGATAAATTTTTCCGCTGGAAAAGAATCAAAGCAACGACATCATGGCAAGTGTGTTTCAAGGTAAACTTCACACATGTAGTTTTAGTTCCAGTTCAGCACTGCTAAAAGCACACTCAAACCACAGCCACTGGGGAGCATTGTTTGAGAAATACACAGCGCATTGATGCGCTCCGATCCAGTTTTTCCCCATTGTGCGAAGAAGCATGTAGGAAGATGTACGCAGAGTGAACGCGCGTTTAGGTAGACACTACTTCTCACGAGACGTCACGACGCAGAACATACCGGCAGTCCCCTTCTAGTTCTTTCTTCCCTTCCAAGAAGCATCAAAGCAGCGACACGGCGAGAAAGGCTTCCCGGTATAGACTCCACAAATAGTGGCGAGTAGGAACCAACACATGCATCCTGTACAGTCGTGATTTCAATCCCACAAAAATATCTTCTTGGAGACAGTCCCCTTGAACACATAAGTCTCGGACGCATTGATTTTGCGCCTGCTGTGGGAATCTCCTGCATTCTATTTCCACGGCAGAGTGAGTGCGCTTTATACCTTGTGGGGTAGATGTCAGGGGACGGCACATACGAGACATGGCCGCCTTAGCTAGCTTTTTCTTTTTGGCGGAAGAAGACTAGGCAATGGTACAGTTCACATGGGGATGTTTTGAGGTGGTTAGGAGTTGGCATGTTGATATTCGATGAATGTGTTGGATTCAGATGCACGATGGTGTATATTGGTACTTTGGTCTTCAGGCTGGCAGAGAACTATATATGTACACCTATCAACGTCCCAATTCCCGCTCTTCAGACTTCTTCATACCCTCGTACCGTCATACCTAAGCTCTTTAATCCCGCTCCAATCCCACATCTCCCAAAACCCTCACCCCCAACTCCCAACCCAACCCATCAAACCCCACCTCCCTGTATAAAACCAAACTAAGGATCTATG